GCCTTTTTCTTCTTTTGAAATAAATAACCATCTACACCTATTAGGAAACTTGGTCCCTAGCACTGTTCCTTCGATAGCTTACATGTTTGTCTTTCAGTTTCATTGACTTTTCTAATTTTTAAAGTTTCGGTCACTATTTATAGTAATAATAAGAGAAATCCTTTAGGTTAACGAAGTATTTGATTTTCCTTACTTTCATGCGTATTTTCCTCATATTCTAGTTTAGATGGTATGTTAGATCGCGGTAGTGCCTTCCCTTCGACGATATTGCGCACCACATTGTACTCTTTTTTTGGGAGGTCCGTGCGATGCAAAATAGTTAGCGCAGAGCCACTTCTTTGTGGACGAGTTAACTCAGCATTGTGGAGAGAGAAAGATGACTGTGACCCATTTTGCTGATGTTTATGCGTTTGATGTTCTTTTTGCGCGAAAACCACAAGGTACTCTTCCAGGCGTTGGTCGATCAGCGCGAGGGCCTCGCAGACTGTTCCCACTGACACTTTTTCTACTCCAGCCCGTTCTCGCAACGTCGCCAAGCGGCAGCCTAGAGCGTAAAATAGGAATTGGACCCACCCCACAAGATTGTTTACCAACCCGTCGTAGTCGTCGGAGCGTTCTTGTAGAGTCTTTGTTTCGAGTTTCAGTGCGTTTAGCCGGTCCTGCAGTTCTACCCGTTTCACACGCGCGGGATCTGGTGGTGCGCTTTCCGTTGGCGCGACTACCGTCAGCTTCCGCCGTTTCTGATCGATCTCGCGGATTTGCTCGTTTAGATAATTCAGCTCAGAAAAGAGCTGAAAGCGCATTTCATTACAGTTGTGTAGGAAACCTATCACATCTTCAATATTGTCGGAACCGACAATTTGCGTTAAATGCTCGTAGATCCCCTCATAGTCATTAAAATTCGGTAAACCCTCTTCAGAAGTGTCATTCACTGCTGTCGCCCCGACCTCCAATAACCTCTCGGACTCTTTCCCTGTGAGTGTGGATTGCACAACGCTTGTTGTTGACTGTGTTTCTTCGATGCGGAAGATTTGACCTCTAAACGTCTCGACGCTTTGCTCAATGCGAGATCGATCACGCCGAACCTCCCTCAGCGATTGTTGAAGCTGTAAAACCTTGTCCATGTGGTCCTTTTTCTGTGATTCGCTCACCTTGAGGGATTCGTTGAGCTCGTCCATCACCCGCTTATACATCGCGCTCCCTGCATCTACTGTTGCCTTTAGCTGCTCAAGCTCGTGCAATTTTGTCAGCCGTTCTTCATTCACAAGATTACAAATTTCGACAACAAACGACATCTCCTTTCTCTTATCGAGCAAGTTTTTCTCGTACAAACGGTAGGGTTTCTCGAAGTTGGCTTCGGCAATGAGAAGAGCGTCGATGCTCGCCCAGAGAGTCTTCGCCCTTCCCGCCATCCCGCTCAGACGCTCCAGCTCGGCCTCGATGTACTGCTCGAGTGTGCGGAGGCGATGGCGGGTCTGCGTGGTTTCTTCGCGAGAGTGCCGCTCAGCCGTCTTCACGGCGGCGGCGCGGTTGAGAGCCTCGCGTCGGAGCTGCTCGCGTCGACGGCGGAGCTCCCGCCAGTGGCGCTCGGTAAGCCCAAGCTTTGATTCCGCCATCCCACATTCGTTTTGCTTTCGCTGAACAAGGTCCCGCGCGGTGCGGTACCTCGTCGAGGACAGCTGCGCCCCACCCGAATCCAAGGTGTTTTGCTCCGTGTAGGATCTGCATTCCAGCATCCGAAGCTCCTCCAACCGATCCCGCAGCTTGTCATTCTCTGCCTTCAGGTTGTTCAGCTCTTGCTGTCGCTGACGTAGCACACGCTTTTCCTCATCTCTCATCTGACTTAGATGGGTATTAGCCTCTGTGAGGCGTTGGCGAAGAGCATCTTCTTCCATAAGAGAAATGGCCTGAGGGCTAGTAACGCTGTGTCAACTTGCGAGGGGACTAGTAACGCTGTGTCAGCTCGAGGGGACTAGTAACGCTGTGTCAGCTCGAGGGGACTAGTAAC